CTGCGGGTGATATCTAGTATGTAGATATTCATATATTACTATACGTATATACTATAGTCATATGATATATATATATATTATACTGTGGAGCACAACTGTTGTGGTGCCCGCTCGGTCATATGTATGATACGGTCGGTATTGTCTCTTGCTGTGGCTGTATCTGCTATAAGTACTACTAACTATATATATATAAACTATATATATATGTGTGCTTTATAGCTGTATGTACGTGGTGTCTCTGCGGCCAGCACCGCACGCACACACCGCGCCACACGCACACACACCAGCACACATCCACACACACACACCGACACACACCAAACAAACTAAACAATACAGAACAAACACACACAACACATGTGCAACACACACAAACTAATCACCTGTAATCAACTAACATAAACTATACGAATCATATGCATACGAAATATCACCTGTACAGGCACAACCACACCCTCTGGAAGTGTCGCGGAAAGAATGATCGTTACGGAGATGTGCGTCTACTGGGAAGTCCCGGAGGGACGAATGAAAGAGTCTGTATTCGTGTAGATACCTATACTAATATATAAAGATGAGTACTAGCCGCGGTACAAATATAAGGTATACCGTATAATATAGTAATAGAAAGGACTGAAGATATGAATAACGGGTATATAATATGAGTATACTATGGTTGTTCTTAATATGTATGTACGTGCAGAGGAACAGAAGAGGGCAGGCGAGCTACTAGCGATCGTCTGTGTGGTAGTCTGTGTATCATATGCTCACATTTATATATGTGCTATATGTATGTACGTGGGTGCTCCTGTGGTGCTGTATTCTGCCGGTAGGGTATCATATATAAGCTATATATATGATATAGCTGTGTGCTATATGTATGTACCAGGACGGAGACGGGACCCGGTGCTCATGCTGGGTGTTATGCAGCCTGCGAGCATAGCAAGGCAGAGGAGAGCGATTGGTGGCACGCTGCACGGCCACAAAGACACTCGGCACTCGACAAGTCGGGGCAGCTAGGCGACCTGAGTCACGATCGAGACACATCAAAAAGTCCGAAAGAAACGAAGCGCCCGAAAGAGCAGCAAACACGACCCCTCAACATTGCTCAAACAACCATGCCATACAACATGCGTCGCCAAATGAGGGAATGCGACCAACCTAGGAGACCGAAATGCTGAGACCAACACCGACCAATAAACACACTCGTAAGCTCACCCCCGCGCGGCTCCCAGCTAGCCCTACACAACCCCCACTTCGCGAATCTTTTTCTTTTCTGAGTTCTTTCGTCCAATCTTCTGTATTTTCTATCCCTCTCTCCTCTCTTCAAGAACTTTATATACTTCTCGGCCTCTCATCTAATCGTTGTCTTGCTCTCTCCCCCCTTTCATACCTCGTCTCTCTCTCTGTCGGTCTCTTGCTCTCTCATCTCGCCCTCTCGTCGGCACTTCATCTCGTCACCTCTCTCCCCTCTCTACCCTCTGCTCCCTCTCTGCCCTCTTCTCCCTCTCTCGCCCCTCTCCGTCACCATACTCTCCCTCTCTCCCAAGGCCTCTACTCCCTCTCTCCTCTCTCCCTCTCTCCCACCGCTCTCTCGCCTCTCTCCCTCTCTCCCTCCCTCCCTCGTCTCCCTCTCTCGCCTCTCTCCCTCCTCTCCCATCTACGTCCGCGTCCTCTCGGCCTCCCTCCCTCCCTCCCTCCCCTCCCTCTCTCTCTCTCTCTCTCTCTCTCTCTCTCTGTCTCTCTATCTCTCTCCCCCCCTCCTCTCTCTCTCTCTCTCTCTCTCTCTCTATCTATTTGCTTATCTATATGTTATCTGTATACATAAGTTACAGGAAATGAATAAAAACAAACATTTGCATTGATGGCCCTGGGAATTGGGATTCATCATCATCATTAGGACACCAAACATGACTCAGTGATGCTGTTATTATAAGCGCTCGTTTGTTAAACCAACATGAGGCTTTTGTTTTCGTTGCGAGCACTCTGTGTCAGAGCACCCTGCTACACGTTATACGTGTGCCTCCTATCCTCCAGCTCATGCGAGACTATCTAGAGGTGGGGGAGGGGGTCGAATTTTAATTTTCCTGAACATAAAGGCAAGTTACTTTGGGATTAATAGGAAATTTTCGGGGCACCAAAGAAAATGTTAGGGGTGTGTCCCTTCCTCCCTCCCTCTCCCCCTCCCCCTCTATCTTTCTCCTTCCCTCCTTCTCCCTTTCCCCCTCCCTCCCTCTCCTGTCTCGTCTGTAGACTGACTGTCTGCTGTCTTCCCCTGCAGGACGTGGATTTCTCGGGGGCGTCTCAGCAGGAGGAGGAAGAGATGTTTAAGCTCCAGCAGCTGGTGGACGCACAGACACGCGAACTTGACACTCTCAACCAGGAAATATTCCAGCTCACACACAAGGGAGGTCACCTCGCGCCACCGCAGTGCGCCACCAGTACCGGCGACGTTGCATGATTGTAACGTTTTGTGCCACCGCAGGAAGCCACCAGTACCGGCGACGTCATGTGAGTGTAATGTTTCGTGCCACCACAGGGCGCCACCAGTACCGGCGACGTCATGTGAGTGTAATGTTTCGTGCCACCACAGGGCGCCACCAGTACCGGCGACGTCATGTGAGTGTAATGTTTGTGCCACCACAGGGCGCCACCAGTACCGGCGACGTCATGTGAGTGTAATGTTTGTGCCACCACAGGGCGCCACCAGTACCGGCGACGTCATGTGATTGATTGTGGCAGGACTGCCGTTTTGTATGTTTTCTTTATCCGCTAGAGATTGAACAGAAACTGTTTGGTCATGCTCGTTGTGTGTACAGTGCTGCGCCATTGTCAATACAGACAAATGCCACGACAAATACAACAACTCAGAAGAGAAAGTGAGTGCTACCAGGTTGTGTGCGCAAGCGAGCGTGCGTGCACGTGTGCACACACTCATGCACACATACATCATTATGTGTTCCTGGACTACAGCGTCAGAACAAAACAACCATTTCCGCCGTGAAGCCGAATCCATCGCGCCGTCATTGCCTGCGTCGCCCCACAGAAACAATGACTGCGTTAGTTTGTGCGAGCGCATCGTGTTTGTGCTAGCGCATCGTGTGTTTGTGCGAGCGCATCGTGTGTTTGTGCGAGCGCATCGTGTGTTTGTGCTAGCGCGCGCGTCAATAACCATCACCGCATTTCAATGCCGTGCATTTGGTTGAGGTTATCAATACATGCTGAGTGGCGGCGGCGGACGGACGGACGGATACGCGTGCAAAGCTGTTGTTATGCATGCGTTTCATTAGAGCTTCATTTGGCGACAGCAAGGATAGCTGAGTGGT